TATATATATATATATATATATTCATTTCTTCTTTTATTCGTCAAATGTAGGATTAGACATAGAGTTACTCGATTCGTGAAACCCACCAAACCTAAACTGCCTGCACTTATTTGGACGATTTCACAAAATCGTTGAGGTCGGATGCGGGTTAGGATTTTCCTATTTTACGGGTTGCGGGTGAGTCACAGGTTTTACCCGCATTCACCCGCCCGCATCTTTATACATTTTTTTTATAAAAAAAAAATCTAGATCGTCAGATTTTATTATAAGTTTTGTAGAAGGGAAAGATAAAGTTAGTGGCAAATTTTTTTCTATCTCATAATTCTTCTCATCATTTGAGTTCTCTATTGTGTTTGGACAAAATTTCAAGGTTTGTTTCACAAATTATTTTCTTTGTATCCTATACCACAAAATAGGTGTATAAAACATAATTTTTTTTTTCCCTTTTCTCGTAAAGAAAATTCTTAGAAAGAGCACTAAGATTTTCTATGAAGATTGAAGATTAAATAAATTATATGATTTTTATTTTCTATGGAGTTTACGAGTTTGCAAATATTTTTATTTTATTTTATTTAATGGGTTTGAATAAAGTTTGACAATAATTTATTTTGGTTCCTAACTAGTTATTATTATTGCATTTTGACTTTTGGATAAATATAAAAGTTAATAAAGAATTATTTTTGAATAAAATTAAGAATTTGAATAATTTTACTTTATTTATGTTATTAGGTACTGATAAATGAATTTTGAAGGAAAAAGTTCAATCTTCAAATTGCCACTCGTACATCCACAAATTATACCCACATAAATTACAATTCGCATATAATTATAAATTTAATTTTTCGCAAACATGTAAACCGAGCCAAACCACAAACCAAATCCTCAAAAATCAATCCGCGAACCCCCTGGACACATGTATGCCATAGTCTTAACCCCATTCCATAGTAGCATCTTATCTTCTGAGTCCTGGGAAGTGCACCCAGATAAAATGGAAATACTCTTTCTGTTGTGCTCTGGGCTCTCCACATTCTTCACATCCTTCCTTCTCTCTCTCCTCCTTCCCTTCCGCTCCCTTCTCCGCCGCCGTCCCACCTCCGCCGCCGGAGTCGAACCGGTTTCCCTCTACCAAGGCACCGTCTGGCACGAGCGCCGCCGTCCCCTCCGCCATTCTTTCCGGTACTCCGCCCGCTATGCTCTCATTGACCTCGACCGCGCTCCCCACCCTCCTCCCAACCATCTCTCCGCCGATGACTGTCGCTCCCTCGCCCAAACCAACGGTCCAGTGTAAATTCATTTACTTACTCTTGTTTTTTTATGCAAATTATTATAATATTCTTCTTTATAGGGGTTGCTTCTTTTGGATTTGAATTTGAATTTTGCCATATCAAGGTCAAACTACTGTTCTTTCAGTTTAATTTGAAGTACAATGCACCACACCCACACACACACAAAAAAGGGGCAAATACTCATTTGCACTTTGCCCTTGAATTTCAAAACTCTACAGTTAGTCCTCTTACACTATTATCTTATTACAATAACCATTTTTGTTAGGATTCTATTAGGAATTTACAGAAAGCACATTACACATTTATTAAATTTTTAGAGGAGTAATGCCTTTATCTAGTGATACTGTTTACACTTTGTTACTAAGATTAGAGAGACAAAGTGCAAATGAAATCACTAGAAAAGAGTATTATTATTCTAAAACAATCAAAAAGGGGTGTTATTATCCCAAAGATTCAATAAATGTATCATTTGCTTTTCACATGATCTGATTTTTTTGTAAATTTATAATAGAATTCTAACAGAAAAGATTAACTGTAATAAGATAATATTTTGAGGGGTTAACTGTTGAGTTTTGAAGTTTAAGATAATTTAAGGGTTTACTGCAATTTGCCCAAAAAAAAAAAAAAAAAAAGTGGTTTTTGGGTACGCGAATTTGTACTAGTAAAAATGAAAGGGATATTTTAGAGTAAATTACACTTTTTAAGAATGGCCTATTTCTTGGTTTGGTCCTTAAATAAAAGATTCTCTCACTTGAGTCTCTTGATTATTTCTCTAAATTATTTGTTATTTCTTACTGTGGTCCAATTATCAACTTCCTTACGGTGAAGAGCTAATTTAGAAATTTCAAAATTTATCTCACTTTGACCCTTAAAAATTAAGTTTTCTTGCTTTAGTCTATAAAACCACCCCAAACCCACCTACTCTCAAAGTCCAACTCTATATAGAACTGATGAAAATAAAAAATTACAATGGAGCTGCGTCATTTGAGGAGCAAATGAGGTTGAGAATCTGAGTGTGGATGCTAGTGGAGGAGATCGGGTGGCGGTTAGGGATGTGGGAGGTGGCTAGTTGTGGGGATGGGGTGAGGAAGGGAAGTGGTTGGTTATGGGAGTGGGGTGAGAAGGTGCATAGAGGAGGGGAGAGAACGGGAAAGTGAAGGTTCAAGTACTATGAGACAACATTTTAGTGGATGATGTGGTAAGTGATTGGGAGAAACATAATATATATTTTTTTTTTGTTTGACGAATTTTTTTGGGGCTTAGAGACCAAAGTATGAACATTTTTTTCTCAAGGATTTAAATTGGAATGTGATGGTGGCTTCTTATGGGATTGGTCAAGGACAGATGACAGTATGGAACATTCTTTTGTGGCTTGAGGTGCAAGATTGAGAGGTGGGTCAATTGGTTGATCTTTTGGGTTTCTTGTAAAGGGTGCGGTATGGGGCAGCTGGGGGGAATTCACTGGTGTGGGTGTTTTTTTGGTAGCCTTATATCATCGTCAGCTTGTGGGAGGGGCAGGGGGGTTGTTTTCTTGGAAAAGTATTTGGGTTACAAGGTCTCCTTCTAAGGTTGCTTTCTTTGTATGGACAACAGCTTTGGGGCATCTTTTGACTATGGACAACTTGATTCGACATCGGCATATTCTAGTCAATTGGTGCTGTATGTGTTGTGGAGTTACAGAAACGGTGGATCATTTACTTATACATTGTTCTATAGCGGCTAGGCTTGGGGTGTTTATTGTGGGTTTGTTTGGGCTGGTTTGGGTTCAGCCGAGGTCAGTAGTGGAAGTGCTTCAGAGTTGGAGGGGGGTGAGAGTTCGGAGGCAAAGACGTAAGGCGTGGTTGCTTGCTGCTTGTTGCTTAGTGCTTAATGTGACTGATTTGGTTGGAGCATAATAGACAAACTTTTCAGGAGATTTCTCATCCAGTGTCTTGGTTGGAGGATAGGCTATTTTTGGTTCTTCATAGTTAGGTCATGTTGTCGGTGAATCCTGATGTGTTGGCTTTTATAGATTTTGTGGATGATTTGATTTATTAGTTTGTGGCCTTTTATGGGCTTTAGTTTTATATTCTTAGCATCTCCTTGATATTTTTTATAATATTTGATTTATTTATCAACAAAAAAGAAAAAAAGAAAAAAAGGTTATACTATAGGGGGTACAAGTGTAATTTATTCTATTTTTTTCACAAAAGTATAGGGACTAAAGTGGACAGAATTTAATAGTTTAGGAACCAAAGTGAGGGCATTTTTTCTTTAGGGACCAAAGTGAGAAAAGTGGCATACTTTAGGGGCGAAAGTGTAATGTATCCAAAATTTTGTAGAACTACTTTAAGGCCAACAATACTTTATGAGATGTAATGTTTGGACTACTATTTTATAGAACCTCTATAAGACAAGCGATAGTTTACAAAACATAATATTGTGTTACTAAGAAAACAACATATTCATAAAATGAGTATTGTTGAGATAAGAATGTTTAGATAGATGTGTGGTAAGATTTGGAAAGACATAAATAACATTTCTATTTTGAGAATATTCGTGAATGATAAGAGTAATTCCAGTTGAAGACCTGTAAAAAACAGATTTAAGATGATCTGGTAATATAGAACGAAGGTCAAGAAGAGTGAGATGATCACTGTAAATGTAAATGTTAAGAAGAGAGAGACTTAAATTGATATAAGATGTGGTAGTAGCTAAGAAGCACATATACACGATAGACATGGACACACAAAATTTCAAAAAATGCAGGATAAGACATGTTGGGGACATGTACAAAATATATAATTTTAAATATTTATTATGTCATATTTTTAAATATTTAATATGTATTTTATGTCAAATCTTTAATTTTATCAAATTTATCGACCTTAAGGATGCAATTTTGGTAAAAAAAAAATTATAAGTTTTAATTTTTTTTGAAAAAAATAGTCCTCAACGTATCCGCAACATGTCCTAAGTGTTCCAGCGTGTCTGACACTTGTATGTGACCTCCAGGGAGGGGTCCATGCTTCATAGGATTTATTTAATTTAATTGAACTTAAAAGCCTTTGACAAAATGTAATGGAAAATAAACAATTCTTGTTTTTTTTATTTGCCAAATAGTTTCAACCTTTTCACTTCTTATATGCAAAACTGCACCGAACATGTTTACTATTGAAATCTTATTAAGCCAATAATTTAAAAAGCTATAATCTAAAAAAACTAGTTTTAAGTGTTGCCAAATGAGCCATTGGATAATGAGATTCTTCTAGGATGACTATTACTAGTTGTTTTATGTAACAAAAGACACAATAGGTTACAAATTATAGTTCTGTTAAACAAGGAGCTAATAAAAATTTATAGTTTCTTTGTTATTGTTGCAATCCATATTCGTGAATGATAAGAGTAATACCAGTTGAAGACCTGTAAAAAACAGATTTAAGATGATCTGGTAATATAGAACGAAGGTCAAGAAGAGTGAGATGATCACTGTAAATGTAAATGTTAAGAAGAGAGAGACTTAAATTGATATAAGATGTGGTAGTAGCTAAGAAGCAAATATACATGATAGACATGGACACACAAAATTTCAAAAAATGCAGGATAAGACATGTTGGGGACATGTACAAAATATATAATTTTATATATTTATTATGTCATATTTTTAAATATTTAATATGTATTTTATGTCAAATATTTAATTTTATCAAATTTATCGACCTTAAGGATGCAATTTTGGTAAAAAAAAAATTATAAGTTTTAATTTTTTTTGAAAAAAATAGTCCTCAACGTATCCGCAACATGTCCTAAGTGTTCCAGCGTGTCTGACACTTGTATGTGACCTCCAGGGAGGGGTCCATGCTTCATAGGATTTATTTAATTTAATTGAACTTAAAAGCCTTTGACAAAATGTAATGGAAAATAAACAATTCTTGTTTTTTTTATTTGCCAAATAGTTTCAACCTTTTCACTTCTTATATGCAAAACTGCACCGAACATGTTTACAATTTATTGAAATCTTATTAAGCCAATAATTTAAAAAGCTATAATCTAAAAAAACTAGTTTTAAGTGTTGCCAAATGAGCCATTGGATAATGAGATTCTTCTAGGATGACTATTACTAGTTGTTTTATGTAACAAAAGATACAATAGGTTACAAATTATAGTTCTGTTAAACAAGGAGCTAATAAAAATTTATAGTTTGTTTGTTATTGTTGCAATCCAATGATGACAATGGACTATCTAACACCCAAATGTACATTGTCATACATTTTATAGTTTAAGAACATGATGTCGAGTACATTTGACTTGGGCCGTTAAATTTTTTCATGAGTTTTCGCTCATTGATACAGAAGTACAAAACTATACTACTACTTTAGTTAGTGTAGTAGGAAGTTCATCTGTTGTGTATTCATCATTATATGTTTACCTACATATTTCTGTAACTGTATTAGGACTTTGAAACAAAAACCATTCCAACTTTGAAAGGAAGTCCTTGCTTTCCTTTTTCAGCATTAACTTGTTCATTAGGGTAAATTACACTCACCTCCCTTGAACTTTCGAGAAAGACTCACACTTTTGACATAACTACACTGACTACCCTTTTAGTAATGTTAAAGCAACCGAAAATAATTCAAATGGTAGGTAGACACTGAAATAAACAAATATAAATATATTTTAGTAAAAATGAGATGACAACATAATTTTTTCATCCGTACAACTAATGAATTATTGATGAAAAAGAGCCATGAATAATACCTCAAAGGAGATGGTATAATTATGTCAAAAGTGTGGGGGTAACTATAATTCTTTCAAACCTCAGGGGAGGTGAGTATAATTTACCCTAATCATTATGTTTAGATTTTTTTTCTTTCTAATGTTTTCATATTGTTTCATCTTCTTCTTCTTCTCTCTCTCTCTCTCTCTCTCTCTCTCTCTCTCTGTTGTGTTGTGGTCAAGTTTCTTTAAGCTGATGGTTTGCTTTATTTCACAGTTTCCTACTGACAATTCCTCCTAGTGTGGGGTACGATAATAATCCATTGAGCTTGTATTACTGTTATGAGGTAGAAGGCTTTACCAAAATTTTGAAGCAATGCATTGCTGAGGTATGTGATTCTATTATTTTGACTATTTTTTTTTGGTAAATTACACTGTTTACCCCTGTAGTTTGACCCAAATTTCACTTTGGTCCCTATTGTTTTAATTCTAACAATTTGGTTCCTACACTTTAAGCCTAGTTTCAATTTGGTCCTTTTGTTCAAATTGGAGATTGAAATTACCAATTTTGGGACACTTATTTTGTTAATTTCCTAAGGTGTACAAGAAGGACCAAATTGAAACTAGGCTTGAAGTGTGAGGGACCAAATTGTTCAATTTGAAACAATAGGGACCAAAATGAAATTTGAGTCAAAATAGAAGGGTAAAAGGTGTAATTTAGCCTTTTTATTTCATTCATTTTGTCAGGCATGCAAAGTTTTTCATATATCCTTAGCTCAAATTTATACATGCGCACACATTTCAAAATGAAATGGAAAGCTGTCTAATTATTTAGATTGGAAATTCAACTGGGTGATGACTTGATTGTATGAATGAAATGATTTCATTTTGCAACTTGTCTGGCCCGTTGCTTATGATTTCTTATACCATTTAAAATTAATTATTGGAAATCAAACTTTTAGTATGATTTTGTGGTATTTTGGTAGAAATTTGAAATTTCTAATTTTCAATACAAGTTCACATACAATTGATACTATCTAATTATTAATGAAGGAAACTCAAAAGTAGGTAGGTAGATTCAGTGATATAAAGTTATGAACTATGGAATGCTAGTATGACTTGCAGACATCAAACAGTAATTAATGACTGAACATCTTGATATCGGAATCTTCTCTTTATCGTGGCATAAAAGAATTTTGTTATTTTTTCATGCAATTATTTTACACTTATTTTGTTAATTTCCTAAGGTGTACAAGAAGGACCAAATTGAAACTAGGCTTGAAGTGTGAGGGACCAAATTGTTCAATTTGAAACAATAGGGACCAAAATGAAATTTGAGTCAAAATAGAAGGGTAAAAGGTGTAATTTAGCCTTTTTATTTCATTCATTTTGTCAGGCATGCAAAGTTTTTCATATATCCTTAGCTCAAATTTATACATGCGCACACATTTCAAAATGAAATGGAAAGCTGTCTAATTATTTAGATTGGAAATTCAACTGGGTGATGACTTGATTGTATGAATGAAATGATTTCATTTTGCAACTTGTCTGGCCCGTTGCTTATGATTTCTTATACCATTTAAAATTAATTATTGGAAATCAAACTTTTAGTATGATTTTGTGGTATTTTGGTAGAAATTTGAAATTTCTAATTTTCAATACAAGTTCACATACAATTGATACTATCTAATTATTAATGAAGGAAACTCAAAAGTAGGTAGGTAGATTCAGTGATATAAAGTTATGAACTATGGAATGCTAGTATGACTTGCAGACATCAAACAGTAATTAATGACTGAACATCTTGATATCGGAAACTTCTCTTTATCGTGGCATAAAAGAATTTTGTTGTTTTTTCATGCAATTATTTTATGATTCAATCTTTAAAAATATTAAGAAGTTACATCCGTCATTTGAGGTGAGCTCACCAGCCAGACAGTGGCATATTTTTTCTGCTGAAAAGTTAATCCATCCAACAAAAAGTGTTCTGCTATTTTTTTCCTTTCAACCTGATGGATTTGTATATGGCAGCAGGCCTGTCCCTACACATTATTTTATGCTATTACTAGTTTCATGTCATGCGTGACTTGGACAGTTCAAAACTGGACTTCGCAAATATTGAACTGTCAACATAACACTTCCAAATTTTAAACTGACCTTTTTGTACATTTCGAACTGTCAGCAGCATCATCTCTCAATCTTATCATTGTTGGGAATTTTCTTTCTTGATCAGAAATCTGCTGCCTACATTTTTTTGTTGAAATCTGACAGGTTGTGACGGAGCTAATTTCCCAAGTGCTGTGCATGTATTGGCATGCTCATTAAACTAAATAATTTATATAAATGGAAGAAATTATGTTGCGGCATGCTCATTAAACTAAATAATTTATATAAATGGAAGAAATTATGTTGCTAGATAACTTATGCCATGATTTTGTATTAAAATTTCCACTTATAAAAAATGATTGAGTATTAAGTTTTATACTAAACTTAGAATTTTATATGCAAGTTGTCAGTTCTTGCTAACAGCAGTGGTGCTTTCTGATTTTAGGTGACTAATACACCATGGGGTGAAAGAGTATCATTTTTGTTCGATCCTACTACTGATCTAGTTGCAAAATCACTACATGTTAGTCCATTCATGGTAAGGTTAAGTGATTGCTTGGCTTGTATACTATTTGTTTCCTTCCTTTGTTGCCATTTTGCTTTAACCTTTTGAGTAATTAACATGATGGTTCACAATATGAATTGTATATAATGTGGAATTAATATGATATGCAGATATCTCTTTGCACTCTTGATATTTCAGATTCAGTTTGTTTACATGATTGCTTATGTACTTCTGATTCATACTTCAATAACTTAGGCCCCCCTTTTTGTAATCTCATCAATACCCTCATCAAACTTAATAGTAATTTGAATTTGGGCATATCATGCTTTCTTTAATAAACACAACAAAAAATAAATAAATAGTTACATTGCTCATCTTCTAGCTTTCAGCCACTTCTGTGTATTTACAGTGGCAGCAAAGTTTTTTATTTTATTTATCATTGTAAAACTGAGGTGCTAGTAACTCTATTTATTTGACTAATATATAAAATAAAATCATGAACATCATCTACCAATTGCTAGACACAGTGCTAGTTGAGTGATTGGTCAGTTTCCAATTTAAGAAACATGAATATGGACACAGGACGTGGACACTTTTTTGGGTGAATACAGGACATGGACATGATACAGTATGAACTTGCTGACAGGACCAATTTAAAAAAGAAGTGTGAACAAAAACTTCTAGTCGCTATTTAAAATCTGTTGTCAAACTAATTGAAAGTTTTAGGCTTTCAGCTTCCTAAATTTAAAAAGCTCAAAGATGGAGGGATTAGTATGTCACAATTTTATTTTATTTTATCTAATAATTGGCTTTCAAGGTTTATATATATGTATATATATTTTTAACTTGTATGCCCCCAAGTGTTCAAAGTGTGTCAAGTTTTAAAAAGATTTTTTTTAAATTGGGCTACATTATGTGTCCAACATATGTCATGGTGTGTACGAGGAGTGTTGGTGTCTGACATGGGTTTGACACAGACATTACACCTTCTTAAAAGTGTCCATGCTTCTTAACTGGGAGTTCATTTTATTGATTCAGTCAGTTGGGTTAGAAGATGTCTAAAACATGTTTGAGATTGGTGTACTCACCATGAACTTTTTGCTATTCCATTATCTCCTTGTCAAGTGAAAGCATCAACACACTGGATAACCAATGCCTACAGTTATTCATATATCTCATGAACAATATTTTCAAATTTATTGATGCATTAGTGTAACTAACTTAAGCTGTTGGGAGTATGATTCAAAGGGACTGTTTTAAAATGAAGGACTTTAAATTTGAATAATCAGATGCACTTGCATGTTTTGGAAACTTCAACTTTGAACTATTGAGCCTTCTTTGTTCTGCAATGAGGTTACTTTTGGAATTTGGAAAAACCAACTTTGTTATCCTTCATAGAAGACAATCTATTGTCATATTTCTGTTAATGGATCACCTGGTTTCATATGGCATGGTTATTTGTTGAAGTTCTACAAAAATCTGACCATTTTTCATCCTAAAGTTACAAGTCATGGTGCTGGTTAATTAGACCTCAAACTAGGTATGAAGGCAAGTAAAAAAAATTCTTGACAATTGATGTGGTTGATAATGTTGTGGATGGATCTAAGCCCTAAATTTGAAAGGGTGCTGTTTATGAGGCACTGTGCCTGACTTACCATCATGATTTGGGTTTGGCACACAAAAAGGAGAAATTCAAAGGTTTATATATATATATAGAAAACTTTGTATCTGATTTTTTTTTTTTGATAAATTGTATATCTGAATTATTTTATACAACTGATTTGATTGAAGTGAGCATGGGCATGTATCGTGGAATGACATTTAGAACAGTTAAAGAACATGGTCGCTTTTCATAATGGGTGGTACTTGTTCTTTCACACATGGCACTTGTTCTTTCACACATACATGAACCACAATAAATTTTTGGTTCTTAGACACCAAATAGCATGGTACTTTTTGTGACTGTATATGGTATGAAAATATAGGAATTTTAATTAAAGATATTAGAATTATCAAAGAGATGGGATAAAAGGGCCACTTGTGTGTGAGAACTGCACCACTTATATGAAATATGTATTGAACTGTCATGCATTATTCGAAGGGATGCTGTTTTTTTTTTTACTATTTTTCTCTGTATGTCCATCTGCATTCTAGTCCTAGTCCTATAAATGTGATGAGACTGAAATGCAGGACATGCTTGGGAATTGGAGCATGAGAACAAATGCACCTGGGGATAATATATTTGTAACAATTTCAGTTCGACATCCCAAGCTTGGTGATTATTTCACAGCTTCCTTAACAGGCAAAAGAATCTCATCATCTGCGGCTGACCATGCACTGTTCTTCTGGTTAATGCCCCATAAAGTTGCACTTGCAATATACTGGGAAGTAAGTGTTTTGGCTTGGCTTTGGATCTTCCCATCAATCCTTAGTCTGCTAGTCTATTATTTACCTTTAGATAATCCAGTTATTCTAGAAATTTCTGTAAACCAAACTTTAATGATAACAATATTTATATTTAAAAAGTGAATATGTAAATAAAACAAATAAAAAAAACTTACTAGGGTAACTTAGACTCAATTCCAAGGGAATTATGGATGTTTGGGAAAATATTGATGACTATTGTGAAAATGATAGTGAAGTAGGACAGCTTGCTATATTTTCAGAATAGAGGTTGTTTGACAGCCTAAACAATAAGTAATTTACGGTTTTAATGGTTAAATTAAAGGCTAATAGGTGGGGGAAGAGATTATAATTGATTTGGGGGTGATAGGTAGGGCTGCAAACGAACTGAGCCGAGCCGAGCTTTGCTGAGCTCGAGCTCGGCTCGTTTATTTATCGAGCTCGTTTATTGAGCTCGAGCTTGGCTTGATAAGGAACTGGGCTCGAGCTAGAAGAAGAGGGAGAAAGAGGTGCTTCACCCTCGCAAGGGTTAGGCTAATCACACACAAACACAATATCAAATTCTCATAATATCAACTCTTGTATTGAATCATTGTGATTACACATATATTTATAGGCAATAGACTCCTGTTTCTAATCACTATGCCTTAAATTTGGAAACTAAGAATAGAACTTTCTATTCCACTTCAATTATAATAGGAAACTTTGATGACTTCTAATTCTACTTGAACCATGACATGAATTCAAAATAGGAAATTTAGACCTTTTTGACCACTAAGATTATTCTAAACATAATAAAACTCATATTTAATGACCCATTTAATAACTTGACCAAAAATAAAACCCATTGGCGACCCCTACAACCCATGTCCAACTAACTATTAAAACGTACTATAATGACATAAATTTGTTAGCAACGTTTGAAATTAGAATAAATACAAATAAATACTAAAAATTATTCCAAAACTTCAATTCTTGATGCCCTATACATGCTTCATTTGAAATTCCAACTTTGCCTTTTTCTTCTTTCTATGCTCGCCTTCAGATGGTCTGCAAAAATTGTGTTTGGTTCGTACTGAAAGCATCCTTGAGAGGCTTGGACCTCATGTTGCCTGTGGTGCAAACGTCTATGGGAGGCAATGGTCTGAGAGAAGTAAGGCATTGCCACATTAATTTCAAAACTTTGATCAAGATAGACCAGTTAAAATGTACACATCCAAACATATTTGTACAATTTAACATTTATCTCATCCAGTTGAATCATATTTTGATAGTGCAAGGCCTTACGGTCTAATACAAGGTAAAAAGTAAGTGATTTTAGGCAAAAAAATTAAAAAATCAAACAACTAAAAAAGAAAAGCTTTTTTTAATGTAATTTAAACGTTAGGGCAACATATTCCATGGAATTAAGGTTTTTGGACCCAAAAAAAAAATTATGTGTTAACAGTGGCTAGTTGAAGCTCTAGGTTCCAATGTTGTGAAGCGGTTGGTAGGTGAATCATACGTAAATTTTTCATTGAGTGGGACATATGCTTACGATCAGTTTCAATTTAGGAAAAAATTGGATCTAAAGAAATAGAATGCTGGCACTTTGGCATTCGATCACATTTCCAACCCATTGACAATATGTTTTTGTAGGCTCTCAAGCTGTGGTGGAAAGGTGTAGCATTCATTCAGCATCCAAGGTATGCCAATGTGGGATATAGGCAAGAAGCACTGATACGTGACATGAAACTTCAATATTGCCCGGCATTTTCACAAGATATACAAAACCATCAACCACTTGAAGGAAGTGATTCTGATTTGTTGAAGGACAAGAATGGGAGGAATCGTCGGTTCACATGGAGAGATGCTAAATGGCCCTGGTGCTGAATACAAGCAGTAAGTCTCTGTTTCCCATTATTTTATCATGAGTAATGGCTAATTATACTTTTTGTTTTCTATTCCTGCAATAAGAAACGACGTCGAGGATTGTGAAGGTGGTGGCTGAGTTGGTTGTGTTCAGGTGGTGGTTGCTATTGGCGGCCATGGTGGATGGGTTTGCGGTGAGAAAAATGAGAGAAGAAGATGCCGGTACATGGGTATGCAGTGGGGTGGAGGCTGCTAGGCCGTGGGGGAGGAGGGAAAAAAAGAAAAAGAAAAATAAAGAAGAGAGCGAGGAGATGGGAGATGGAGTGCAAGTGGGCTAGTGCGGTGTAAGTAGGAGTTGGGAGCGTGTGAATTCATAAATAAATAAATTACAATTGTTACATAATTTTATCGTTCAGGTTAGTTGCATGTTGTCACATTTTGCATTTGAGACTTTGCTTGCTTGGACTACAGGTGAGTGGTTATGTCTGCTATGTATTTTGTCAAAACGACCCCATTGACATTTTTACCAACATTTTAATTTGAAAGCATGTTTTAAAATAAGATCTTTATGTTCATTGTGAATGCATTATAATTGCTTGTTAATTTCGTATTTCTTTCTTATTATCTTCTCATAATGTTACCGCACAGAAATGTTCATTGTTATGATACCCATTGTTGGACATGGTCATCACCATTCACATGTGATAGTTGTTCTGTAGTCATATACATAACTGTCTACAATATGTTCACCCTTTTAATTACTTTTAAAGCTCCATTTTAGAACTATATTTATTATTGCAGGACATTATCATTCATTGAGTTGTGAGCTCATCATCCCTCGTTATCATTTCAGGTGAACATGGTGAGCATTAGGAGACAATAACAGCTTTGGGAACCAGTTCTCATGAGACCTCAATAAGACCATGTGAATGTTTATTGTCATCTGTCATGTTAGAACTTCTCATTATGCAGATTGAATTTATTCTTTTAGAATAATGCTATACAAACGGAAGAATTCATATAGAATTTATGTTGTACAAAATGATGTGGCTAAATATGTACCTTACGATTTGTGTGGGGTTGTTTGTGCCTCTTTACCGTAACTATTTTATAGAGATGTTATGTTCTAGACTAATGATTCTATTTGGGAGACCTTGTCATTTTGAGTTGATAGGTTAGGCTTTCTTGTTTCATGGGCTAAGGCTTTGTGGTACACGCTGGTCATGACACCTCTTAAACTTGTGTTTGGAGTTGGAGTAATAAAGTTTTTGGGTTACCTGGTTACGCAACAGGGAATTTGAGACAAACTTTGATATGATTAGTGCTATACAAAACATCCAAATTTCAAGAATGGTGATCAAAGTGTAAAAAACTTGGGAAAGGGGTTCACACTAAACCATTTCATAAGTCGTTTTTTTTACTACGTGCCTAACCATTCTTTTGGTTTCTAAAGTCGAAGAACAAATTTGGATGGAATGAAGAATGTAATAGGAAGCCATGGCAATAGTACAATAGCACTGTGTATATATATACTCGGCATTTAACAATTTAAAAGAAAAAATTAATAAAACAAAACAATAAGTGGGATTACTGAAAGTTTTTCAAAAAAAAAAAACACCTAATGATATTTGAAGGTCTTCTTTCTGTTCCCATTGAAGCATTAATAAGTACGATAGGTCATACTCAAATGTCATGAGATATAAGTAAAGATTTCTTCAATCGTAACCAAAATAGTAAGTATAATAAATCATAATTAACATTATAATCAGTCATAATTAAAAATCTTTTCGGTCATAATTAAAGTAAAAATCATAAGAAGGTTATAACTAACACTACAAATAATTAAGGGTGCAACTCGGACGGATTGTGACTTGCCCAAGTCTGAATTGTAACATGAGATTGTATGTTCAAACTTAACTCGAGTTGCCCGAATAGCACATAGATTTTAATTTATTTTTTTTTTAGCTAAATTTTTAATTTGTTAAAATTATACTCTATTTACATTGTTTTTAGAAAATCATTGATAATACCAAAACAAATAATTGGTAGTCTTTACAATTTCAGTGAGAGTAAAAAAGATAAGATTTTGTATTGTATTGCTTGTGTATATAATATATATTTAATATGATTTAATGATTTAAATTACTTTAATATCATGTAATGACTAATAATTTATATTATATATATATAATTTGGATTTGGATTGCTCAAATTAGTTGATGTTTTTGTACAAACTCGTCCAAATTTAATCCGAACTTTTAAATTTTTACTATATAATATATTCAATATGATTTAATAATTTAAATTACTTTAATATCATGTAATGACTATCATTTATATATATTTAACATTTTATATATCTATATATAATTCAAATTTTGAGTTGCTCAGATTGTTTGATGTTTTTGCGCAAGTCCGCTCAAATTTAATTTGGACTTCTAAATTTTTATCCAAATCTGTACTGAATTCAAAAATATCTTATCCAAGCCCTAAAAAAATTCAAAATGGGCCTAGATTGAACCCACTCAAGTTACAATCCTAGTTAGCAGTGAGGAGGATTGCAAAAATTTATTTTTGAAAACAAGCACATTTTCTTCATCACAAGGTAAGGGTGCTCGTGGTTCAGTCGCGGCCAAAAAATTTCTAATTTGCCATCCGTCTGTCGGATGGACGGATTGACAAAATTAATCTGCATCCATTCGCCGAATTGACGGATGCAAATTGAGAGAATTTGCGGATTGACAGATGAATACAAATCGATTTGGCAGTTTAAACTTTTACAAATTTTGAATATAATACAACTTGTTAACATTTTTTTATAGATAATAATCCAACTCAACATAACCAAAAGATTATTAAATAAGTTGTCAAATAACAATAATAAATACATATAAGAAAATCTTGCATTATCAAAATTATTTCATTACTTTTTTTTTTATTCAAAACTATTTAATTTGATTTTTTTAAAAAAATGACAAAATTAAACCTTATTTTTTCACACAAAAATATCAAATATCAACCTTTGCCATTTGATAAAAAGATTTTTGAATTAAAAACAAATTGAAAACATAACAGAATATCTAAACTCTTTTTCAATTGAAAACACAACAGAATATCTAATTTTTTTTTTCAATTGAAAACATAAACATAATATCTAAACAAATTGAAAATATAAAGTCTTACAAATTACTAGGAATGCTTGCGATTTGACAGTTTAGTTGCAGCCAAAGCAACCTCAAATCCGTCATCCGTCCGAAACTAAGTGGATTGAAAAAATCAATCCGCAACCGTTCACTCGTTATCATGCATCAGTCCAAATTGCGACAGATCAGTTCGATTCGGTCAATTTGGATAAATCAAAATATCCGTTGCTCACCCCTACCACAAGATGGAATGGAATGGAATACAACAAGAAGAAGAAAATAGTTTATGTAAATATAAATAAAAAAAAAACATGAAAACAGGTTATGTCTCTATGAATTGAACCAATAGAACCACGCCAAGAAGCAGGAGAGTTTGATTAAAAATCCAACCGGTCAATTTCAAGATGCTATACTGATAAGGAAGTCCTTCGGTTGAATATCAGATCAAGAGCAAGTTTTGACCAAACATCCACTCAACATGCTTGAAAATACTGTAATCAATATCTTTACATCCGGGGTGCAATATGTGAAAGATCCCAGGGGGCCACGATGTGGTTGCGGGTGATCTCCTTGAGTGAGCGGCAACCACTTAACGCCATAGTTAGCTCAAACTCATCTCGGAGCATTTGGAGTACTTTTCTTACACCAGCCTCACCATCGGCAGCTAATGAGAACACTACTGGCCTTCCAATCTGAAAGTCATCACAAGATCAAAGAGTTGAAATTTCTACCATTTTGTGCCATTTAGTCTCAGAAAATTCAAGAATGAATGGCCATGAAAGAAGTTTTATGAGAAACTCTGACATCGTACATTTCTATGCAAGGTTGATTTGACTTTTATCTCTTAAACTCTTGCCATATTTTTTTCCTTTTATTTCATCTTTTTAGTTCTTTTTATTTCAGTTCATGTGGTCCAATTGAAGACGGTTGTCAAAATCAGTAACCGCTAAAGCCTAATTTGATAGATAAAAAGGATTTTTTCAGAATTTAAATAAATTTAAGTGAGGGCAGCGAAAGGGAGCAGATGAGGGAGGGGAAGGGTGAAAAAGGAGAATGTTTGGTTATAGGGTGCAAGTTGTCTAATATAGTGCAAGTAAGAAGGATATTTCATTATATAATGTGGTCGTTCAAATGGTAAAAATACATTTTTGCCCATTAAGTTAGACTTCCACCATTACTGATTGGGATTGGCATCTCCATTTGGACCATATGAACTATAGTAAGAAACTGTAGGGACTAAATAAATACTCCATTTGCTATGATCATCAGAAGTTCCTTCTTGAATTTGCTAATCAAGGTCGTATTCACTTACAAATACTCCAGATGCTCCAAGAGCCAATGCTTTGAAGACATCTGTCCCACGCCGGACCCCACCATCCACAAAGACAGGAACTCGGCCTTGCACAGCTTTAACAACCTGCCAGTTGCCTCGAAGAGATGACAATGTATCAGAATTACACAAATGGCTTTAAAATGTGCAACATCATTAAACTTTTTGCAGCGTATTGACAAGTTAGAAGGGAAACCACTCAGCAAGGAGAAAAGCTTGGTGATTCAAGAATTTTGTTGAGATAAAATATTGTCAAAAGAAGTATGAAGAAAGTGACAACAAACAACACTCATATGAACTTCAGGTATAAATTGGATGAGTTATGAAGAGCAAACAAAGTTTTTGAGGGAAAAATAAGGGAATTGTTTCCCTTTCTAAAGTCTGTATCACTGGGAAAAGAATGAGGAAGCTAAAGAAAGTTAAAAAGAAATAAAAATGACTACCACGTGTGTTGTGCAGAAATCAAACAGTTCCAATCACAAAAAACAGCAACAAGAAACAATCAAAAGACACAAAACACAAGATATATGTGGCTCAGAAATGTGCCTATGTCATGCAATAAGGATTACAAAATTTTAAACCTTTCAACTCTATAGTGAATTATAGAGAACACCAAACACGTGAAAACAAACAGATATACCTCTTCCAAAGCCATAATTGTTGCAGGGACATAATCAAGTTGTCGAGCTCCATGATTCGACACAATTATTCCTGCGGCTCCAGCTAGTACTGCTAGACTTGCTGCATTATTTTCCAAAAATGTGGACTACATTGATGAGAACATTAGCAAGTAGGACCTCAAGAAGGAAAAGAGAACTCATTTTATCACTATCTTGCTTACCATCGTCAGCAGTTAAAACACCTTTCAATAGGATTGGTAAATGGGTGATCGTCTGAAGCCACTTTACATCCTGTCCAAAATGCCAAAGAAAAGGGGTCTATTTTTGGTTTTTTTTTCACTTTTTTGTTTTCTACTTACATTTTCTCAGATTGTTTTTGAGAAATTTTTTTGAAAATAACTCACATTTTAGGAAAGACAAAAAAAATTGTTTTTCGAAAAAAAAAATAAAAAATCGCAGAAGAATGAGAATGATAAGAAAATGGTGGGCATTTTCAAACATTTCTTTGTTGTTTCTGAAAAAAACAAAAAAAAAAAAAGCCCAAGCATTTCAAATGATAACTTTTCAACTAAAGTTCAAGAAATCTCACACTAGAAAAAGAGACCTCACCTTCCAGTTAAGAGACTGGTTAGCTTGTTCGGCAAGATGTCTGGCTAGTCCAGAGTCATTGGTCTGCATGATCACCAGGAAAATTTGTCATGGGCAAACACAGTTGATAAATAAAAACCATCAGTCTAGAATAAGTCAATCATTTATGTCATTCACCTTATCTATCTTCCGAACATCTAATCCCTCAGAGTTCTTCAATGTCAAATGTGATGGCAAACTAAATCTGTAGTCAAATCATAAATCGTTTTTGTTAAAATAGTGAATTGTGGATTGTATCGTGAACTGTTAGATTCACTTTATTTAATATATAATATATAATTTTGTATACATATATCCATATAAAAATCCACAAATAGTGTTTAAAATGAAATAAATATCAATATAATTAAATTGTATACATGTATATACATATAAAATCACGTAAATCAATATAATTAATTGATCTCTTTTCTTCTTTATTTTTCTATTTTGGGAAAACGATGTCATTCCATGCAATTATCAAATTATGAATCGCATGATTCTAACAACAATGTCCATAGGATAACCCACATAAAAAAATTAGGACATAAAAAACGTCTTGTAGTTTAAATAATAATTAGGTAGAGAAGAAAGACTTAACCAAGTCTTTTGAATTGTTGGTTTTAAACAAAATTGAATTTTTCGGTTTCAATTCACCTATTCTTAATATCAGCTTCTCTACGGCCAAGCCTTGGAGTATCCACAGTGAGAGCAATTGCCTTGAAGCCAGCCCTTTCAGCTCTTCTAATAAGTCGTGCAACCACATTTCTGTCTTTGATCATCTGAAAGAAAAGTGGGTAGTATGAGATGATACGAATTTACAAACATATTAGAAATCCCAACCCATTAACAACATTAAGAGCCCTAAATAATGTGGAGTTCTCAAATGACTGGAAACGCAATGAAAAAATGAATGAAGATACTGGATAGAACATATTTAGGAAACTGTATCTAGGATTTAAGCATTTAGGATGACCGTAGTGGGCAGGTACTGGAATTATTGGAAGAATCCATAAATTTCAAAGATAATTTAGAGTTGAGCAATTATTAGATGCACCATTTCAATTTCAGAGGTTTTTTTTTTTTGTTTTTTTTGGTAGGTAACTCTATAGTTCTTAACCATATGCAAACTGGGATAAAGTATTGAATAATTGAAGCTTTTCTAACATAAATCAGGATTTTAATACATTCTCGTTTCAAAGATTAGAAACAGTAGAGATGAATTCTCTACTTACATAGAGCTGGAAAAAGTGAATGCCAGGTCCTGTAGAAGCAACTTCTTCAACACTGGAAGTAGCAAGCGAGGACAATGTCTGAAACAACGAACCATGCACAAGTGAATTAAAGAGGCACATTACACGGTAATAACAATTAAACTTGCTGTAGCACCAAAACCCAATTGATCCTCAAACAAAATCCAGAACTATGGAACAAACTGTAAGACATTAAGAAATTCAAATAAAAAGAAGTAACGAGGATGAGAAACGGAACCATAATTGTGCCGGCAGCAGATGCTGCTCTTGCTGTTGCAACCTCTCCTGCACCAGAATTAAACATTTGGGATTAAATATATGTGAAAAGGTGAAACAATAAACGAGTTCCTTCTCTAAATGTTTATGATAAGCACGCATAAAAAATTCACACCAACTATAGAGTTTGGCTTAAAAAAAAAAATAATCATAGCAATTTAATAAAGGTCATTATCTTTAGTTCAGTGCATTGCTAAGATGAGAATGCTAAGGTGGATGTGTGGCCAGATTAGAGTATATTCGAGAACGGATAGGAGTAATACAAATAAAAAATAAGTTGAGAGAGAATAGATTGAGATGGTTCAGTCATAAACAACGGAGACTAACAAAGCCAATAATGAAGAGATGCAATAAAGTGACGGTAGATGGCAGTGTTAGGGGAAGGGGTAGACCTAGATTGACGTGGACTGATGTAGTAAATAGAGACATGAATCTCTTTAATTTGACTAACGAAATGGCCTTGGATAGAGTCGAGTGGAAAAGAAGGATTCATGCAGCCGACCCCATTTGAGGGGACATAAGGCTTGGTTTGGTTTGGTTTATCTTTAGTCTAGTGCACAAATTCAATGAAACAGTGGCATATACCTTCAGGGTGGGCCATTTTTTGCATAGCTGTTGGAGCAATCATGATTGGCATTGAAATTTTGAAGCCCAACACTGTTGTGGTCATGTCTATCTTGCTTACATCAATAAGAATACGAGGTCGAAACCTATTTTTTGAATGAAAAATTACACATTTAGAGAGAAGCACCAAAATCAAACCTGAAATAAAAGCTCTACCACTGATCATGGCCTACAAAAAAAATAAATAAATAACGGTGGAAATTTGACTTTTGACATGCTTTGTTCCTAATATTTGTAGAAAGTAGAAAGCAATCCCATGAATCACCACAGAGAGAGAGAGAGAGAGAGAGAGAACTCTGCAAGGAGTATACAATTATTAAGATAAGAGCTTACAAAATCCTTGAGAATGCATTCCGGTTCTCTTGGAGAGTCCATTGGTCCTCTGCACCAGATGCATAATAGTCATAAATCACCTTTGGCAATTTCTCCTTTGCAATGGCCTCATATTCCACAACATTGGTGATCTGATCCATCTTTCCAATGTACTAGTTATGCTGTTCCAAGAAAGTTTGAAATAAATTCAAAAAATGGTGAAATTGGATCACACTACTTTCATTTCAAACTATTATGGAATATAGATATTTTTAATAAAATAAGATCATACCAAGGCCTTCTAAAGTAGATGGACAGAAAATGAAAGCAAAAGTACATTTTTGGATCAAAAAATGTCGACGTGAAAAGTAGAAGAGGAAAGCATAGACAGACAAAGGGAAAGGAGTTCAAGAAAGAACAGTAATAATAATGCAAGATTATCAAGGAGCACTAAAAAGCCCCCAAGCCCCACTAAAATAGTCCTAATCATATTGGCTCAACTAGGAGCTTGAATTTGAATGTGGGGTTAGTTGGCTAAATCCGGCAAATTCTACCGAAATCTTGTAAACTTCAATTGAATTACACTTGTTAAAATGACCAATTTTTTACAAATTTCTGAAACCAATTTTTTCCCGAATTCAACCAAATATTCTGATTTTTCTGCTGAATTCTTCTCTCATTCTAATTTAGTTGTCTAGTTCACATCTAAACTTTGCCGAATTTATGACAATTTTCAGCAACATATGAAAGTTCCTACTTTCTTTGTTTCTGCCATTAGAAAATATAGTCCAGATTCTCGTCTATGGTTAAATAATGAAGTTTACTAGTGTAAAGTAACTTTCATATTGGTTCATGCAGGATAAGTAAGTTAATCACTTCTACAAACATAAACAGGATATAAACACCTCCTATGATGATATTAACTAAAAGAATCTCAAAATAGGATTATATCATATAAAAAGTGGATGCACACATGATCCACTATATTTCTGTGAGAAAAGGATCATCTCACATAAAAAGTGGAAGCACACATGGTCCAATAAATTGTTAATTTTGGAATCAATTTGCATAAATGATCTTTGGTATATAAGACACCACTAGCTTGCTTTAAATAAATTGTTTTTTATTTTATTTTATTTTATCTTCGGTATATAACTTGGCTTAGGTTTTTTGGGTCATGTTCGTGGGCCGATTTTCTTTGGGTTACTTGGGGACAACAGGCAGTGAGGCAGTCATATTCTACGAAATTCATTGCCTCTTTCATAGAGGGGAACACCAATACATGGATATAATACACCTACCATTGCAACTATTGAAATTCCTCTTTCATGTTTGACCATCCGTATAAAATTTTCGGTACCATGGAAAAGCAAGATCATCAGTACTCCAACTTGAGACATAACACAAACATGTAATCTTCAAAATCACGTCTCATGAAAAACCCAAAAGAACAAAATACACAGAACACACAAAAAGATATAATAAATTCTTAATTATTCCACATACAAGAAGCAATCAAAGAACAAAACTTCAAATCAAACAACCAAATTCAAATCATACCCAGATAGGGAATCTCTCAAAACAACATCAAACACTTAAAATTGAAGTGCAAGCATGAATTTAAGATCAAAGAAACAGTGAAGGGTGTGTAGAAGAACAGACCTTAACCTCTTCTAAACAAAGAAATTGAGTGAAGCTACGAAACGCAAGGTCAAAATAGGCGTCGCAAACAAAGTGGAGAGAGAGTAGAGTGAGGACAAATGGTGGAGCTTTGTTCCTCTTAGGAATCACTTGGTTCGGCAAACTGTCACTCTAGTGCATATGATGAGACCAAAAGTAGACACAAATTGAAAATGAAAATTTTTTGGACTTTTTGTTGCGTCCGATTTAGAATGTCTTCGCTCTCTCAAGCTGGCAAACTTGAACTTTTTCAATTCCCCATTTGTTTGAAAGAACAATAATTGAGGTCCCACAAATTTGGATCAGTGGATCCCACGTATATATATGAATAGGTTGTGCATATAGCCGAAGGACCAAGATCCCTTTGTGGATATGGGGATCATCCTAAAGGGGCCCAAACATTTTCTTTGTTTGAAATTTAGGAGAGTTTTTGTTGAGTTTTTGTGAATTTATTACGGGCCATAATATAGATGGTTTAATATGTAAAATTTATCGAGTAATTTATTTTTGTAAAAAATCACATTAATCGGATATTGATAGTAACTTGATCAATCATAGTTGTGTTAACAGTAAATATGATTTTTAAAATAAATATACTTACTATTGACACAAATGTAATCTGATCAAGTGACTATCGATATCCGATCAACGTGATTTTTTTAAAAGAATGAAGTACTCTACAAGCCTTACACATTGAATGATTCAGATTATCGATGCGGGTTTTGTGATGGACTCATGGAGACCCAACAGTACTCTCCAGTCCGACCTTTCCCTAAAATTTGTTTGAAAATTATAAACCCATTTAGATTGTGTTTGGTTGAAGGATTTGATGAGAGAAATGAAAAAAAAAAAAATGTAATATCACTTTTTTGTTTGGTTATAATGGAAAATATTGAAGAAAAGAAAGTGAGAGGAAATTGTAATCTCATTTTTTGTCTTTTATGTTCACTTTAGGCTTTTTCTTTCTCCATTTCCTGACTTCACCAAACATAACTTTAATTTCGAATCCTATCCGTTTTTTCTTATTTTCTTTTATTTCCCTTTCCTTTTCTATTTCCTCTGCAAATCTTCCAATCAAATACAGCCTTAATGGGTTGTTTCTTGAGAATTCTTTCAAAATTAAAATTAAATTGGTGTTTGTCAAATGTGATGCGTGTACAATTCAAGTAAGTAAAAATAAAACAAAAAAAAATGATAAAAAAATTATTATCCACAATTTGTGGTGCTGCTCAAGTGATAAGAGCCTTCTTAATCCATCAAACCTCAGTCTGGCCAATGCTATTGAATGGCAACATATTGCAAATTTCCATAATTTTACTAGGACCAGTTCTTGCTTGGCAGTAGGCTAGAAACCTCCCAAGTTTAGATCCTTCAAACTCAGCACAGATGCTGCAGCCAAGGGAAATCTAGGATTAGCCTTTGCGGAGGGACTTATTAGAGACCATTTGGGCACTAGGTTACCTATTTTAGCAAGAATATTGGTGTGGTGTCCAGCATAGAGGCTGAACCTTGGGTCATGAGAGATGGTCATAACCTGGAGCCAAATATTGTTAATTTGGAAGTTGAAACCGATGCACAAGTTTTGAACTTCTCATTCTAGGAAACAGTAATGAGTATCACCATCTTAACAATTTCATATCTGATTGCAAGTACCTCTTGCATTACCTAGGGGTGAAGTCAATTAATCATGTTTACTGTGAAGCCAATGCCTGTGCAGGCATCCTTGCGAATCAAGAAAGTAACATCACAGAAGGATTTTTGTTTATCCTTTTTTTCCTTTTTGTATCTCAGCACAATTATTTGATTATGCTAGAGGTTTTGTATACCCTAGAATGTTATACTCTTAAACTCTTTTATTATTAATATATGGAGAATCCTACTGTATACATCTCATATCATATGTACTCTTAGTTATCCTACTTTTTTTTTCTTTAATTATGACTAATTTTCTTATTTAGTTCTGACATTATTTGGAGATTTTAATTATGACTTTTTTTGTGTCTGATTATGACATTTTTTTTTTAATTATGACTCAGAAAGTACGAAATTATGTCATTTTTTTGGAGTTATAAGGTGCATATGGTGCACATCATTTGAGGGATGTCTACCATAGTCTTTTCCAGTAGTATATAAGGTCTTTATTTATTTTATTTTTTTTAAAAAAAGCTTCTTAATCAAATCTAAGGTCTCTATATAATTTTTTTGCTTTAAAAAGAAAAGTAAAAAATTTACGCGGCATAAAGTGATGAAAAGACTTCACCAAGTCGAGAACTACTCGTCCAATTTAAATATATATAAAAAAGGAATAATTAATATGAACTTTGTGCAATTTTAGTCTGCAATATTTAAAATGTGTGAATTTGGTTCCCAGAGTATAAATGTCTTTCAATTTTATTTTTAATATTTAAATTATATCAATTTAGTGTCCAATGTAAGTAATTAAGTTTGGGTGGCTTAAATTGGTAATATGGGATTAAATTTAACATTTCCTTTCATGCGCAGCCCAGTAGCATATAGAGGTGATTGAGAAGCCCAATTGAAAGATGGACCGTTGTACTACAGGAAGTGAGAGACCACACAAGACCTAGTTATGATGTCATATTGAAGCATTCAACTCAAAATCAATTAGCAATGAGTGAAGAGGACTCAGGGGAGTTAGATGAAATAATGGTAGGACCGACAAGTGGAGAAAGCACCCTAAGAGCAACCATAGGCATGATCTCAGAAGCGGAATATGTATCAAGCTCACCAGGAAACAAGTCTACTGAGGGATCAGTGAAAAGTGGAATATAAGTGGAGGGTAAAGAGAATTTGGACATAATTTAGAGCACTTTGTGTTTCTAGAAGATCACATAGCGAGAAACACAATGATGATTGGAATGAGGATCTTAATAACAATAACGTTTATGTTCGATGCCACACCGCAAAAAACAACAAAGACGGGCTTGAGGTTCTAGTTTAGTGCATTCGTAGGGTTGAAGCAGGACAAAACAGGCACAACCAAAGACTCTAACGATGTATTTGATTAGAGAATTTGAGAAGAGATTTAGAAAGGGAAAGTGAAAAGGTAGGTGAACTATGAATAAAATATATCTATATTTCACTTAATTTTACACGTCTTTTACGTTTCTGCTTCCAAATTTCTTCCAAATCCCTCAACCAAACATACTGTAAGGGATTTATAGTCAGGTGGAGTGCATAAAGGCACTCATAAGGAGTCTGATTACCAAGAAAAGGTGTAGGAACACAGTTTTATGATATAAACGACCGTGAGAGCAACTTCACCCCCAAAATCGCTCAAGGCATGAAGTAAAGATAAGAAGAGCATGAGTAATATCAAGAGTGTGCCTTTGTTTCCATTCAACATGAACAATGATGTATGGATCCACTTTCCCGAAGGAAGGAAAGAAAGTTTGTATCTATATATTCCATGGTATTGTCAAATCGAAAAATTTTAGTAAGACAAGAAAATTGAGTTTTAATTATAGTAGCAAAACCATAATAAATTGGTTTGAGCTCAAGCCGGTTTTTCATGAAAAATATCCAAGTAATATGGTTCATATATTTCATTTTGAAAGAATTTTCAAGATATTTTTTTGAGACGTAGCTAAACATTATATATAATATGTATTGCCACTAGATTTTTTTTTTTTTCTTCACAAACAAAATTTTTACTTATTTTTTTTACCACTAGATACAATACAATATGACCGACATGTATTTATCAATGTGAAGTCCATTATCTTAATTTGTGTTTAATGATAAAAAAAAAATTATATATAAAAAATCAAGGAGAAATTACCGATAAATCCCAAATTAGGGAATTGTTATCCATTTAGTCCTGTGTTGTTTTCTTATGATCCATTTGGTCCTATTTAATTGGTAAGGAATATTTCCTTTGATTTGACATGGGTAGAGTTTACAAATTTACCCTTGTTGTGATTTTGGTGGATTCTTTTTTGCATATTTGTATGTAATGATTGAGAGAATAACGTTTTATATTTCTATTTTTGTGTTTAACTTTTGTAAAATGATATACAGTGGATAGATTTTAATTGCTGATGTTGTTTTCTTGTAACGTTAGAATCAATTTTGTTAATCATATGGGTCGTAACAACAACATTAACATTGGGTTCCATCACGCTGTTCCACATTACAATGATGGTGTACTACAACGCAACCCACAACCATTGTAAAACGGAATAACATACTTCAAAGCACACACTTTTTTTCACACATCAACCGTAACAATTTTCATTCGGCAAAAAACATAACTACACTTACACCACGAGAGCAAGTGACTACACCACATACCAACATTACATTTTCAATGCGTCAAAGATGGGCCGTACTATTTTCCATACTGCTTCTAACATCTCAGATAAAGAAACATTACATTCACACTTATATGGATCGCAACAATAACAACATTAACAACAAGGTAAACATCATGGTATACTACATCACACACTAAGCATACTATGACGTGTCCAACATAAATCACAACCATCATGAAATGAAATACCACATTACAAGATACACACTTATAGTACACAACATATTTCCACATCGAACATATTGGGTTCAAAAGAAAACAATTGAATATGCTTACATAGGTCGTTACTACATTACCATACGAAGAATGGTGAACATTACATCAGTTCAAATTACACAACGGGTGCTACCAACTACCCAACATAACATTCAACATAACATGTGGAGGATCAGTTTTACAATGCTGTAAAACAGTCGTACAAATGTGAAAATGCTTTACTACCCCCCACATACTAGTACGCAATACAATGTGACATCACGAATTTTGAACTTTGAAACACAAATGACATGGTACATGTCAAACCATATTTAACATGTATGGAATGGACATTGCATTGCATGACTCCACAAAATCCGACACACATGCATAACCCCCAACTACCACAGTTGGCCCAAAATACCACATTCCGGCTGGTCTTTCCACTGAACATGCAGCATACATGTTCACAACTACACATCTGGACTGAGCAAAAACCAAATATTTGACAAACAATAACAACACGCCATTTCCATTATAGCACGCCACATAACCAAAAGTCCTGACGACACTTCTAAAGTATGCATAACTATTTTCAACATATTTACGAACGTTACAATCCTACTGAAGTTGAAGATTCTGTGCTTATGTATGTTGTATTAAAACTAACATGACAAAATTGGGTGAAAATAATGTCATTGCGCATGACACATTGACTCACAGCAACGACATCCCAACATAATACAACAAA